CAGTCGCTTGGGGTTGGAACTGGATGAGCTTTAAGGTCCCTTCCAACCCAAACCACTCTATGATTCTATTAATTGGCAGTTAAGTATGAAAATATCCACACAAAATCTTTATCACAGAATCATAGAATAGTCAGAGTTGGAAAGGACCTTAAGATCATCTAGTTCCAATGCACTGCAATGGGCAGGGGCACCGTCCACCAGACCAGTAATGCGTTCTAAGAAATACTCATTCTATTTTATGCCCCCTGCCATGAGCAGGGACACCACACACTAAACTATGTCACCCAAGGCTCTGTCCAGCCTGGCCTTAAACGCCTCCAGGGTTGGAGCATGCACAACTTCCTTGGGCAACCTATTCCAGTGCCTCACCAACCTATTCCAGTGCCTCACCAGCACTTTGTCAAGTAGGTTGTCTCCATTTTGCAGACAGTTGTATAGTGTTTTATTTATAATATTCATAATTTATTTATTTATAATCTTGTCATCATGAAGAAATTTTGATGAAGCAGGGAATCCCTTCCCAATGTTTGTTTCTATTTAAAATTAATTTATACATACATGTTAAATTTTAATGCTATAATTAAGATTCACCCACAATGACCTTTTAGGGGCTTTGTACTTTTTTTATTTTAAAGAAAGAATATTATATAAAAGTCTAATTGCATTTTTCACATGTGTGCACTTGGCTGGGATCTTATTCATTAAGAATGACATGTCCGTTTTTGATTTCTGACAGTAATAAGAAAACTGAACCTGGAAGTCATGTGCTTCTGACTAAAGCAGGTGCACAGGGTAAAAAGAAGGGTAAACCAACACCATACGCCTCACAACAACCCAATCCTTTGGACCAAACTTGTATTCATCCAGAGTCTTACAACATTGCAATGAGGTAAGCAGTGTGAAGCTTTTTGAACCATTGATGCTATCAAATTTTAAAATGAAAGTATTTATTTTTCTGACAACAGCCTGCGCAGCCTTTTAAGACAGGAACACACATTAATTTGATGTTTTCTCACCTTTCTTCAAGAAAAAGTTATGTTTCAGAAGTTGTTTACAAGTAAAGGGTTTCAATTGGTGTGTTTTGCCTTCCATGTGCATGCCAATTTTTAGTTTTATTCTTTGGGGTTTTTTTGCTTTCGCATTGTTTTCTAGTGAGGAAATCAGTGCATTTTCAAAACTTCACCAGACTTTCTTCCCATGATGCTGTCTTCTTCATATCACCACTTTGCACCTCTTTGAGGCCACTTTTCTCAATTTCTTTGTTTGCCAACTCTCATTATGCCAGACATCACTTTCAGTTTGGACTTTTCAGTTCACAAAGTGTGGAGACAAATAATTTGTTTTAAAAAATGGCTAAACACTGAGGTTTACTTTTCTTCTATCTTGCCCCCATATATTATGTAAAAGGCCATAACTAAAACAATTTTATTTGTTCTTAAAAATAATCTAATTTAAATGTGATGCAAATTTTTGGTCAGCGGTATTTTAATACCTCTGCAACATTAAGAACTGCTTTTACATTGTTCCTGATGTTCAGCATATGCCAGTCAAGCTTTCTCCTTAATGAATTTTGGCCACCAGAATTTGTTTATTTGTGTGTTTGAGTGTGCACAAGAGTGCACAGACATATGTGAGGATGTGTCATTATCATGAGCCTTTGAAATTAAATTCAGATACTGTGAGATCTAATTAAGATGTGTGTGTGAAGATCCCAAATACATGAACACTGGGGTAATTTTGCTAAGTGACCTTTAACTAAAAGAAGAGAATGGGTTTTGTGTAGGTCAGAAAAAAGTAATTAGGAGTCCATGTGTGCCTCTGGTTAGGGCATACTGCAGCTGCTAAATGCTAGTATAAGCTGTGATCTTTACTATCATCAGCCTGGTTGAAACAGGACTCTGCTTGTCCTCTTGAGAAAGCATTATCTCCTGCAATAAACCAGCACATACTTATTTTTTTGGGTGATTTGCTGTGAACAGGTTCACTTCTTAAAATGTGCCAGGGCTAATTTCAGCAGTAGTTAGATACTTTAGAATTCTTACAATCTCTGTTGTGATCATTATTCCTGGAGAAACAGAGCTGTGCTTCCTGGTTTATAAACAAAACCATCTTTTAGCCTCAGAGAGAGATGCTGGATTTCTGAATTCATGAAGCTTGAGTTTCTTATCTAAAACTTTTTACAGGACCTTGCATTCTTAGGACACCTTCCCTACAGTATATGCTCTGTTTTCAATCAGGTGGAGATAATTGCATGTACAACTTCCTATGCCTAGGTCTGCATGCGTTCTGTCTGCTAGGTATGCAGTGCACTTTTGTTTCCATCCTCTCCCTGCCACAATTCATTCTTCTTTGTGCCTGATTCTAGAGCCACTGTGCAACTGGCTGTTAAAGTGCATGCTCTTTGTGCAGTGTGTAAGTAGTTGGTTTGACCATTTCCCTTTTTTTCTTATACATCAGCATTTATTAATTATCTGCCCTATGCATAGGTGTAGGAAAAAATTGGGCAAGACCCTGGTCATAATGATCATACATTTGGTAGGTAGCTTATAGAGTAGGGAAGCTTGGTCACCCCTATATATTATTCAGAGTGAGCCAATGTAAAATTAAATAAATAAAGTGTTATTAAAAAATAATGTTCATTTCTAATATTTTATTTAATTTAAATATTGAGTAGTCAGGATTTGATTAATCGTCCATTTAGCTTTCCAGCCCTAGCATACTAATAAAACGATCAGTAAAAGTGTTCACAGTGTTACCAGCTTTGCCTAAAGGCTGATGTGAAAAGATTGCTTCGGGGAGCAGAGAAGTGTAGCTAGTTAATGGTGGAATACTACAGGAAATTATCTGCATACAACACCATTGCAAAGGTTGGTCAGAAAATAACAAATTGTGACTTTGTTTCCAGAGTCACAGTAGCACAGATTATTCTTATATCTGAAGAGGTGAGTGGGATTTATTACTGCAAAGGGTAGCTCAGAGATTTACATACAGTTGAAATTTGGGAGAAAATTTTAGTAGGTATCACAAATCATATAACTGTGATTTGGAATTTGGCTGGGAACCCAGAATTAACAGTATTAAGAATAAATAAATAAAAATTAATGAGTACAGGTTTTACATCTCAACAAAAAAATAGTGGTTTGAGTTATGGGCTTATGCATGATTCAGAGAGGAGGCTGCCACCTATTGCACAGCCAACACTGCTTAGAAGGTACCTTGCTGATTCTTAAAATGTGCTCGTGGTCAAACTCGTTAGGCTTTGAGAGCTGCAAAGTCATTGCAGAAGTATGACATGGCTACAGGCCACTGCTACCTATCATGTCATTTCTCTTTGGCTAATGCAACTACTTTAAGCTTCCAGCTGTGCCATTGTCTGTTCTTTGTTTCTCACCTCCTAGACTGAATTTTCAAATGAAGTGTTTAGATCCAAGTTCATGTTGTAGGTATGTGCTGTACAGGTCTTTTTATGCAGAAAGAATATCAGTAGCAGTTAAAACAAATATAAAACCACAATAACAATATCTGCTAATGGAACACTAAAATTACTAAGCATAGCATCTGTCTCTGTGACGGAATCAGTCTCTTCTGTTTTCTTTGGGCTTTCTCTCTGTTGTCTTACTTCTTACGTTTATGAGTATCTGTACACATAGTTTGATGGAGGGGGGAACTCATGAAGTGCTTTCAATAAATGTGCTCTATGTTCACCGGTATTTTTTTTTTCTTGCAATCAAAAGATAGTTTCCTTGAAAGCTTGTTGAATATGAAGGTCATAACTTTTATGGTATAGATTTTATTAACATGCACTAGCTTGATATCACAGAATGGTGTGGGGAAGGGGGCAAATAGTTCTAACGTTTTTTTTCACTGCAAATAGCTGTTTGCAGAAAAGAAAATACAGCTCTGCAGCAAACTGACAAAAGCCAAGAAGTGTAGTATTAAAAATTGACACTCATGACATAAGGGCTAAATATAAACCAGACATCCTCCCCTCAAGCAACTAATGCTATAATTTAGCAATGATTATATATTTAAAATGACCTTTTCAAAAAAAGCATGTGAGCTGTTAAGCTTCTTGGAATTTATGGAAATGGCTTTCCAAACCAATTTGCTGCCTAAATATGAATTAAGAAAAAATTCTTCTAGGAATTCAGTCTGCATGGAGGATTCACTCCAAAGCTTATCAGAGCTGTTGATGATATTTGCTTACTTTGATAGGCAGTGGATGGAACTGGGCTTGTAATTGCCTTTTGTTGAGCCTATGTTCATGAGAAAGCTTCTGAGAGCCTAAAGCTTCTGAATTAAACATTAACAGTGACGTTAATGTTCTTGATTTGAGGTGTCTTGCTGAAATAACCAATATCTAAAGGACTTTCTAAGGTGTTAGAACTAAACTAGGTTTAAAACCTAATTTATAATTCTTACAGTTTCAATCAATGTACATGAGAAAAATTGAGTCTGTTAGAAGTAGGTCAGAATGAATATTTAATGCATGAAGTTTTAAACAAAATACACTTTAAAGGAGTTCTGGTGCATTACTGCTTTCAAAGTATTCATTTCTTCTATTTCTGTGCTTGCAAAGAACTTGTCAGAGGCCATATGAAGCTCACAGGTGGATCTGTGCTACCAAAGGGCAGAATTCTTGTCTTGAAGAAGAAGGGTAGATTTTAAGGCGTCATAATGCAGTTGTACCTACCTCTTCTCACAGAAATTAATATGAATGGAATACATGCTGTGTAAATGAGTCAGGCTTCCTCATGCCATGTCTGCCACATCTTGCTGTAAGAAAATAGCTTGTGAAAATTTTATTAGATTAAAAGTTTTCATGGGAAGTTACATCTATTTTTAAACAAAATAAGATGGTGATTTTAATCCACTGCTTTAATCCAAATTACCCAAAAGCAGCAGTCCACAATACAGATTTATGACATGCAAAATTATCAGTTTTTAAAATGTTTTTGAGGGATAGAAGTTCAAAATTTGAAACCACCAATTTTGTAGCTTGAAAGGCCAATCCATTAAAATAAAAAAAAAATGGTTAAAGGAATTGCTCCCAAGTGGTGACTTTGGTTGCCAAGCTTTAGGCTGGAGCCAATTTTTATGGCTGAATTAGAAACCCCTGAAAAATAGGGGGTTTATAATGGAAACACTGATGTAATCTTTACTACAGTGGCACAAATGGTGCTGGTATGATTGATTTATGCTATTTGAACATCTTAACTTAAAATCTGTATAATTTCTGCAGAAGAATTGGGAAACATCCTACTGGTGATTTAACACACTTTGCAGATGACCAACATATTTTTTGTTAATGGTTTCCACACTATCAAAGCTTGACTTTGTCATATGCAGTGATGAAACTTATGAACACATCTAAATATTATGAATCAGAATATCCTAAAAGTTAAATAAATAAATACAAACTTCGTAGGCAGTGTATTTTCCTGCAAAGCAGAGCTGTGTGTTAAGTTTCTGAAAAGTCTATACCTGACAACCAGTTTATAGTAGCAGAATCTTCTACATACAATTAATACAACAAGTAAAGCATATCCAATTTCTTGGTACGTATTGTAAAATAACTGGTAGAAGAACCAAGGTAACATTTAGGAAGTCTCAAGAAGTTACAACCAGGTTATGATTATAAACCAAAATCCTGGAAAGAAAACACAATGTTTTTTCTGTGTTGTAACAGTCTGCCGGGGGCAGTTGGTTTCGTTTGACTGAATTTTAACATTTACTCATTTTTATTTAAATCTCATAAAAATGTTCTTTGCTGAAGGTTGGCACTCCGAATGTATATTTGCTGCTCACAGATTTGAGCATCTGGCAGACAGGTTGTATTTCAGTCTGACTTGGAGATATTTTGCCACTATTCATAGATGAACTGAAGTT